CAACAATGGTGAACTTTTACTGTACTGGTGTTTTTAGAGACAAATTAACTGTTTTTATTTAGAGTGATTTTTACATATATACACTTTGTCAGCTCCTTTCTCCGCCTTGCACATACCACACATCTCTCTTCTCTGGGCCCCAGTAGCTACTGAAAATAGGAAAGGTGTAGTTGGTGTGAAGGCTGACAGACCTGGCTGTGCCAGGTTCCCCTGGCCAATTCACAACCCACTGCTCCACCCCTAACCTGCAGCTAAGCCACACACCATACCCTGCATACCCCCATCAATCAACTTGGCCAGCCAAGCTCTGTCTGTATTATTGCCTCTGGACCTCCCCTCACTACAGACCCTCCCTCATTCTTCCACTCTCGCTCCAAATTTTCCCTCTGTGAACACCGCCCCCCTCCTCGGGCACATACCGCCTGGTATTTGGGACAGAACCTGGCTTCCAGCACTGGATGATGCAAACCACAGGGCAGTTTTGTCATACCCCATGTGACAAGCCATCAGGTTGTAATGAGCCGCCTGGAAAATAATTTCCTGGCAGCTTTTAGGCACCGACAACTGGGTGTGGTCTTCCTTATTGTGATTGTCAAGACTAACGCTATATAATCTGACCCTGTGTGCAGGGTCAGATTTAAGGTGCACTGTTTGACCATCAATCATCATAACTTAGTCAAAGGCTGAGTGTAGAGTGATGTCACAAGACTGCTCCAGTGGAAGATCTTCTGTGGAGCACCCACATACATTGACGCAGTCCTAGTGGATGTTTTGGGACACTTAGATTATTTGATGAGAACAGGGAGGTCCTCCAGTCTCTGGCAAAATTACTATTGACAAACTGAAAGCACAAGAACATCACAAATGGAGGCTGTGAAAAGTGTTTGAATGGAGCCTAGTGAGCTGTGTGTCTGACTAAAGACTGTAATGTCTGTGTTAGTGTGCTCTCTTTACTGAATGACAGTTTGACCACAGTGACTTCCACTTTTACTATGAAATATGAGTGTGAAGTGGTTTAAAGCTGACTCAGGAAACAACCGACCCACTAAAGTCTGTTTAAAGATGTTTCATGTAGCATCATGTGACCTTAGCACTGATCCTGTTGTGGTTGATCAGGTTTACTTCTAACATTGAACCAATAAAGAAGTTATACAGCTTATCCTTTTTTGGACCGAGTATTAAGGAAATGTAAACTCACTGTGACAGTGTCACGTAAGTCTCTGCCTCTCCCTACACTGTGGGTTAATCTACCTCTGATTGGTTGATGTAAGTCTGCAGTATTTGCTTCCCTTTTCTTTTTCACTTGTTCTTCATATTCACTCCATACATACACTTACAAATACACTCAAGTCATTGAAGGTTTCCCTTAAGCTGTGCGATAAAAGGGACCCTAAAATGCCACCAGACCATCAGCAGTATATGGATCCACATACCATAACACAACCTCCATGGTGCTTTACAGCTAGCTGCAGACAATCACTGAACCACTATATTCACATTGGATTGAGTCCATTAGACCTGTTTTCACAGATTTTCAGTCCAGTTCTTGTGTAAATTAGCACAGCTCAGCCTTTTACAGAAGATAAAAGTGTGTTTTTAAGGCCTGCCACCAGTTTCATCACATTTCCTTAGAGAGACACTGCACACCACACATATAGCTCTATGGGAATTTTCTTGCAAGTGTACAAATACTATTGCACGCCTGTTGTGTGTTATATTAAACATTTTTCATAGACTCAGCTGAAAAATTAAAACAAATTACGAATTTTTGATACATGGTGGCAGTAATGAGCTTTGAACTTGTATTGATACTTTAATGAAAATATTATTTTTGTTTGAATTTTTTTCTAATCAATTAGTGTCTTAATCAAATTGCCTGGATAAATTGTTTGGGTGAGTTAACTTTGATTCCCCCAAAATAGAAGAAGCACAATGTAAATAATATCTCTTCAAATCTAGTTGTTACCCTCAATGGCTAATCAAAGCACTCGAAATCACTTTCAGTTATGTACTGATGTACAAAACAATGGACATAAGGAGCTTCTTTCAAAGAAAAAACTCAGGTAGATGTTATTTTATATATTATGCTTTGTGTGTTGTTCAGTATATTTCTATGCAAAACAAGATGAATTTCAATACACAGCAGTATATTCACAATTGAAACCAGATATTTACATACACTTTAGTGAAAAACAAAAAAAAAAATTTTCTTTACTGTTGAACATCAATTTTAGAGTAAACTTTTTTGTTTTAGATCAATAAATATTGAAATATCGTTTGAATTAGTTAAATATCAGAATAAAGAGAGACCTGTCTATTTTTATCACTTTCATCAAATGTAGGAGTACATGTACACTAAGTTTATTGTTAATTAATAAGAAAACTCCAGACGATTGCATTCTGAGCTTAAGAAGCTTCTGGTTGGTTGAAAAGAACTGTGGAGCTCCATAAGTGTGGCTCAATTTTGAATACAATAATACATACAATTTCTCTCTATTTAACAAATATGTTGTTTATATTTATATATGTATTTTATATCTAAAAAAAATAAGCATTTAGTCTGATTTGATGTTTAACAATTAAACAAGTGTTTATGTTTTTATCTGAAGAGTATGTAAATATCTGGTTTCAACTATATTTGATGATGTTGCTGTTTGGCTTGATTGTCAGCACAAAGAGGGAGAGAGAGGAACAGAGAGGGAACAAGAGCAGGTGAGACAGACCTGTTAGTCAAATGGTTGCTTGTCAAAACACATTACAACATGTATCTAGTACAACATGTCACATTCACCCAATTACAATTAAACTGATTCTTCCTAACTACATTCATACACATTCACACTCTTATATCAGTTGCATGCAAGTAGCTGACTATGTAAGCAATCTGGACACTACAGCTTTAAGCAGCCGCGCGCTCCCGCTGATGGTAATCACGGTCACTTTTTGGCACAACACCTGGAGCTAGGAGGAAAACAATCGCATGAGTGCTGCTGTTTGACTGAGGAAGAATAAAGTAGTCGTGGTAGGGATGGGTATCGTTTAGGTTTTATCTGATACCGGTGCCAAACCGGTACTTCTGAAACGGTGCCGGTGCTTAAACGATGCTCGAACAGGTGCTTAAAGAATGGAGAACACATCTCATGTTTAGCTGTTTTTTTGTAAAAATAATCAATGTTAGCCTTTTCTGCAGCTATAGGGCATATATGGTATCACTCTTGGCTGGAAGCAGTGCTTAAACAATGGAAAAAACACAAACTTTGTTCACAGAGAGAGAGAGAGAGAGCAGAAAGAGAGAGAGAGAGAGAGAAAGAGAGAGAGCAGAAAGAGAGAGAGCAGAAAGAGAGAGAGAGAGAGAGAGAGAGAGAGAGCGAGTTTTGAGATGTGAGAGATTTGTGACGTTTAGCGTGTTTGGAGTGTGTAGTCAATCTGTTGTCTTGTGTAGTTAGTGTGTAGTGTTGTGGATAGTTTTGTGTTTTGTGTCAGAACAATGAGGTGACTGCTGTCTCCAGGTAGAATCAGGATGATGCACCTGCTGCTGTCAGACCTGCAGGTATCAGGCTGTGATGTTCTCCTTTATAGAGGACAGAAATTATTTTTTTGGAGTGGCACAAAAAATTTGTGTGGCATCTTATTGCATGCAGAACAGCTGATTGTTCTGTAAATAGTTTGAAATGGTTATTTAAAAAAGGGGTAAAAGGTAAATGGCTGCAAGTAACTTTGTTATTTTCAAAACTTGTGCGTATGATTTTAAAATTGACAATTTATATTTGTATTTAAAGAAATATGAAATGAAATATGATTCATTACACATGTCTGTTACAGTAAAAAATATAAGCTTTTTTACTCGGATTTTATGTTTTTTGTCTGATTTTAGATCAGTTGTGTTAATACAGTATGTCAAAATGTAAACCTGACTGTAAATTCAGACACGTGAGGCTGTGCTGAAAAGGATGATACCAAACAAGGCAAAGTAAAAAGTTTTTAAAGGTAAAATGTGGAGGGAAAATCAAAAGTAGTCAAAAATGGCCAATTACACCCAGGACCCCAGAGGGTTAAACATTTTTTTAAAGTAATGCAACAGTTACTTTTCAAGTAATTAATTACTTTTAGAATATTGTAACTCAGTTACTAACTCTTACTTTTTTGAAGAAGAAACTAGCAAATGGGAGCACGTTTGTGTCATGAATGACGATCTTCTATTGTGTCTTTATTAAGAAATGATATCCTTTTTGTGATTCTATGATTAATCTTGTGTCAGCATGAAAACTTCTCTACCAGACTCAGGATGTCATAAACTGGCCATAGCGACTCTACTGGATGCACGGCAGTAAGAATCAACACACCCACATATGCCTACAGCTGCATTCGATCCATTATTCTTCCTCTCTCGTTGTCCTCATTATACTAGAGGACAATATATGTATTGTTCTACTGGTCATTGCTTTGCACAACATGGTAAAAAAAAGTATACTCACAAATCTCTAGTGCAATGGAGGCCTATGAGCATACGTTCTGTGTATGTATTATTGTAGGGTCTACCTTACAATACGAAGCACCTTGATGCGACTGTTGTTGTGATTTGGCGCTATATAAATACAATTTCATTGAATATAGAGCACCTGCCTCCTCATTGTGCTGCCTGTTGTTGTTGTTGTTGTTGTTGTTGTTGTTGTTGTTATGACCAGTGCTTGACCCCACACATCAGTGATCCAAGATCAAAGATGTTTGAAAGCAGTATGGTGTGAAAACATGGCCCTTTGCAACACTTTGGGGTCATTGTTGTCCACAAGGACCACAGGTATTATAAAATCCAATAAAAACCCCATTAATAAATCAAATTACTTAAAACTTATTCCAATCATGCATAGCATAGTAATGAATAACTTCTGTTATTTTCAGACCATTTGATGAATAAAAAACACATTTTTGATAGCAAAAGATTTCTTTAGAGGACAAAAATGACCCAAGGACAACACAAGGGCTAAAGATAAAGTTTATTATTCTACTTGTAATACAAAATGTTTGTTACATGTTCATAAATATGAAGTCTGTCCTATAAATCTCCAATGGATTTATGATGAAGACATTTTTGACTTTACAAGAAATTGAGTTCAACTGTTTGTTTGTTCTTTAATGCAATTTTTAGAACAATTTTGCTGGCATGTTGGGCAAAGCCTGAGATAATGATGACCTTTTAATGTGTCAAAGACACTTTAAGAAACACATTTTAATATATACATATATAGATAAAGAGCTGCTCTTGAGGGTTCCTCTTATCTAGTGTGAGACAGAGCCTGAGAACGATTGTCTCAACATAAAAAGCTGGTAACCATTACAAATGCTTTAGTTTCAGTTCCTATGAGGGTTTGAACGAAGCCTGTCAAGAGTGACCACAGTTTGTTCATACTCATCAGAAAAAGTAAATACAAGAAGTGAATGTAATACCAACATCATGAACAGAACAATTTAAGTCCAGATGTGTTTTTATATTTTATCTTCTTTAAGTTGATGTGTTGTACAGGCTCTAGGTGTCCACAGCCTGGTCATTGAGTTTTATTGATAATCATAAAATAAACTCACTCAGGTGTTGTGTTGTCTCTGAAGTTGACAACAGCGTAGGGGACATGCTCCTGCTCTTGAAATGACTGAACAGTGGAGTAGGGATGTTCTGTTTGGATCTTGGACAAGTTGATCTCGCTGTAGTCAAGTTCCTGCTCTGCTGGTTGAGCTGAGATGTCGTCATGCTGGGGTCCAAAATTTACCTGATAAAAAAGAGAAATAACATGTTAATAACATGTTAAAAGGGGCTAACGATGGCTCCCGGGCCTGGCAGATCCCCATGTACTAAATAGAAGCGAAGAAGTTAAAGAATGGAGAACAAGGAGGGAGGGAGGGTGGAGCATGTAAACAAGAATGATCAGCTTGCAGAACTGGGGGAACCTATATAGATGACAGCTGGAACTACGGTGTTTGTAGGGGTAGTCCTGCTCCTGAAATTCCAATACATAATCTCCAATATTTGTTAAAATGAAGCTGCTCTGTCATGCATGAAGGAATAATCTAGATAGATCAAGGGGATGTTCCTCTGTTGTAGAAGAATTATTGCATTTATTTTGTTTACCTGCTCCAAGTTTTCCATTGTTTCACTTGTTGATGATTGGCTAGAAGTTCTCCTTTTTCTGGTTAATGAAATAAGGGAATATGAAAGTGAACAGATGGTGTCAGGTCAGTGTGTGAATGACAGTTTGAAAGAGAACACAGTGATGCTCACCTAACACACCAGCAGACAGTGAGAAGTATTAAAACCAGCAGAGCTGCAGAAACTCCTGCAGCTGCTGGTGTCCATGTTCCTGTGATACTTTGGACAGTGAGAGTCTTTGGAGCAGAGCTGATATCTTTGTTGGTTTTCACAGCACAGGAGTAGCTTCCTGCATCCTCCCTGCTGACTGGGTCTAGGATCAGATGTTTGTTCTGGTTCTCTCTCGGGGTCAGAGGTCGACTGTTCAAGTACCAAATGTAGTTTGTGTTGTCAGTCAGAGGACAGCTGGTGCTGCAGGTCAGTGTGACTCTCTGACCCTCTGTCACCACTGCAAAAGGACTCATCTTCACTCTCAGCTCTGAAAAACACTTAAACTTGTCAGTAACTGTAAGAGATATTTTATGTTAAGTGTTTCTTATAAACAGCAGGTTGGTGTTTAGCGTCAATGTTACAAAGTGAGTGAGAGAATATTTTTCTTTTACAAATATGAGAACTGTATTAGGTTTAAGAAAAGAAAACTAAATAATTTAGTAAAGATTTTATTGTAAAGGATAACATGAAGAGCTTTAACTCTATGTAGGAGATGACAGATTTAATTGCTCACATAACTTAACATTTGTCTGTCTGTTCTTTCTCTGTTTGGGGACTGATAACCATGCATGGACTGAAACAGAAAAATTAGACTAAAAAAACCTTTCATCACTGACTGAATGAGGAAATAAAATTGCATCAGTTTGTATAAACATCTTGAAACGTCTGATGACTCCATCATGGATCAGGTTGTGTCTCCTTGACCAGTTTGCATAGATGAATGATGGTGCTTCATGCTGTTTGTAACCCAAAATGAGCCCACTGGCAGTAAATGGTCCAAGGGCCACAAATCTTAGTGTACGTGTGACAGCTGTGACATTACTGGAGGACATTTTTAGTTGTAAACCCGAGTGGATGAACCATAATCAATGGATTTATGAACTGGAATTCTGGCTGTGTTGGACTGAAACCTGGAAGAGGTTTGGTGATTTTGTGCTGAGTCTCTGCTTCTCCTTGATGTTCTCTCTCCTTCAAAGCAACACAAGACTACATTTAAAGTCTAAAGTTGTGGACATTTTCAGTAACAATAAAGCTGAAAACTTGTGTATAAATATTACATCTCTAAAATCGTTCTCACAGATTGTTCTAGTCCTTATGCTAACACATACCTGGGAACTATTTTCACCACTAAAGTAACAAGTGCAAACATAGGTGAGCAGAGCTTCTGTTATTTTTTTTTTTTTTTTTTTTTTTATATTCTTTATTTCTACAATATTACCTCATAAAGATGATTACAGGCATTAATTAACACAGTTTACAAGAGAAAAACGAAACAAAACGAGAAGAAAGACAGATAGAAAGAAAGAGAAAGAAAAAAAAAAGGAAAAAAAATTATATATATATAAAATAAAAGGAGAAAGCTCTGTCGGGAGTAAACAATTAACTAAATTGGTGGTTTCAAGCTTTAAAGAGAAAATTCGGTTTATAGGTATTAACGTATTGGACCCACTTATCCCAGCACAGATGGAACCAGGCCATCCTGTCATTAACATGAGCTGTTACTTCCTCCATCCTATATATCTCTAACGTAATTTCCCACCATAATGACAAAGTCGGTATGTCTTGCGAGGACCATTTCTTTGTTATACATTTCTTACTTGCAACCAATAAAGCTCTTAACAGACATATGTCATTTTTGGACCAGTTCTGCGGTATACAGCCAAAAAAAATTGTCTTCATATCCTGAGGGAATGTACAGTTAAAAATGCCTTGTAATATACCATGAATGTCTTTCCAGTAAGTCCGTAGCACAGGACAGTCCCACATAATATGGGTGTGATGGGCTCCTTGGTATCCACAGTTTCGCCAGCACACGGGAGGATTCCCATCATAGTGAGCCTTTTGACATGGAGTGATAAAGAACCTTATCAGAGTTTTCCATCCGAACTCCCTCCAGCTTTTGGAGGAAGTACTCCTCCATTGCCATTCCCACATCTGAGTCCATTCTTCCCTAGAAATACACATCCCTCCCTCCTTTTCCCATAACATCTTCACATAATCAGTTGAGTGTGGAAGCTTATTCATAAAAAAATTGTACAAAAAAAAATGAGTCTTGTGTCAACATCCCCACTGTACGCCTGTCTAAATAAAGTTACCAATTCCATGTTAGTATTTGACATCTGACCGATTGTTGTCTTTATATAGTGTCTTATTTGCAAGTATCGAAAAAAATCCTGTTTTTCTAGATTGTGTCTCTGTTTCAGCGTGTCAAAACTAATAAGGTTCCCATCCTTTATCAAACTATCATATGTAGATAACCCTTTAGCAGGCCAGCTTTTAAAACGTGAGTCCAATTTATTCGGGGCAAAGTCAGAATCATATGCATACCATTTGAATAAAGCCAAATCCTGTTCAAGTTTGAATTCTTTCACGACTTTTCTCCATATATTAAGTGTGCACGACACCCAGGGTTATGAATCTTGTCAATATATTTTCGAATATTCGAGTCCATCAGGACAGCTTGTATTGGGGAGGAAAACATATTCTCCTCTATAGTCTTCCAGTGTGCTTGGTAGCTTGTATCACACCAATTAACCACCGTTTTCAACTGAGCAGCCCGATAATAATTTTTTAGTGATGGCAACCCCCATCCTCCCACCTTCTTATGTAATTGTAAAGTTTTAAAACAAACCCTCGGCCGCTTCCCCCCCCATATAAACCGCGATATTATTTTATCCCATTCATTGAAACGACTTGGATCAATGGATATTGGTAGTGTTTGGAATAAATATAATATTCTTGGCAAGATGTTCATTTTAATAGATTCAACTCATGAGTGTAAAGAAAGAAAGGGGATCATGTTCCATCGCCTAATATCACCCACTATTCTCCTTTGTAGAGAACCAAAATTCTCCTCAGATAGTTTAGTTAAATCCTTGGGAATAACAACTCCTAGATATTTCAATGATTGTGCTTGCCAATTCATTGGATATTGAACAACCATGTGAGCTGGGGGGTTGTAGTTATAGCTGAGACTTTGAGTTTTAGACATATTAATTTTATATCCAGAGAGTTTCCCAAATTTTGACACAGATTCATCAGCGAAGGCAAGGAGTTAGTGGGCTGATCTAAATAGATCAATATGTCATCCGCATAACAAGCGAGCTTGTGTTCCTGTCCTGCAATAGTGATCCCCTTAATGTCTTTATTTTGTCTAATTGATTGTGCCAAGGGTTCTAAGTACAATGCAAACAGGAGCGGGGACCAAGCACAGCCTTGTTTATTTCCTCTCTGCAGAACGAAGCTATTTGAGAGAGAACCATTAACTTTAATTCTTGCGGTGGGTTAGTGTATAGTGCCCTCACCGTATCAACAATTCCCTTATGTAAGCCGAATTTATCCAGGACTTTATATAGAAAGTCCCAATTTACAGAATCAAAGGCTTTTTCTGCATCAATACTCATAAGCATGGCTGTACTCTTAGATGTCTGTATCTGATGTATTACATGAAGAGTTCTACGTATATTATCCTGGGTCTGTCGTCGTCTTATAAACCCCGTTTGATCATTGCTAATTAAGTCAGGTAAAAATTCTTCCATTCTCCTGGCCATTATCGAAGTAAACAATCTAGAGCTTCTGTTAATTGCCATTAATAGCTAATAATTGCAGCTAACTCTGGAGTTGCTCGTGGATTTCATCATCAAGTTGAAACCTTGTAGTCATGCAGCTGTAGGCTGTTAGAGCTGGGTGAGTCTCCCCACTACCAGCTTAGATTAGTTTCTGTTAGCTTATTTGAGTAACACACAGGACTAACTGGGATCTAAACAATGAACAGTGAGTCAAACAAGCTGTAATTACCTGTGACAATCAGAGTAACTCCAGGAAAATCAAACTGTTTCACTTCTTCATTTTCTGTTGTGATGGTGAACCTGTATTCTGCTGAGTCATCTCTCTTCAGCTTCTTTAATCTGAGGATGTGTTGGTTCTTCATGCTGTCATCATACTCCACATGATCTGCATCCTCAGTCAGCTGTTCAGCTTCTCTCTTGACTTTATACCAACATTTAGACTGTATCTGCTGGTAGTCAGGATGTGAGTATTTACTGGAGATGTTGACTGAAGATCCTTCCAGAGCACAGATTCTGCTGTGGACATAATTCAAACTCCAGCAGGAATCATCATTAACACCTGAAATATCAATGAAACAGAGAAGAGATATTTTAACTTAATTAGTCAAATCAGTTTATTTCTATCACACATTTAAACACAACAACAAGTAAAAAGCACTTTAAAGTATACTTAGAATAAAAACAACCAAATAATTAACAAAAGCAATAATAAAATAATAACATTAAATATATATAAAAGAAGAAAGAAATACACTGGGCAAAATGACAGACTGAGTTACTCTTGGGTGAGACTGAAAAAGCTGAGCAGAAGTCAGGAGATGAATACTGTTAGTATCATAGATGAGCAGATCTGAAGAGGGAGAGTTTTGGATCTGCAGCTGAGAATTGTGATGTGATCACCAACGTTTTAAAACTGATCCTGAACTTTACAGGAAACCAGTGTGATGATTAGTCTTAATTGCAAGAAGTGGTGGTAATACTTTGTAAGTGGAGAGACAGTAAGTTTACTCACAGACGTCAGCAGAGCGCACATCCTCAAGACCTTTTACAGCACAAGACAAACTGTCATGATTAGATCTGGAAACTAGAATCTGTTTTCCCTCCTGCACTGTAGGCTTTCTGGTCTCATACCACACAAAGGAAATCAGAGGCTCAGTCAGAAAACAGCTGCTGTTACAGGTCAGTCTGATGTGACCTCTGTGTTCAGCAGGAGTCCTCTGGACATGAATTTCTGTTGGGAGATGATGAACACATTTTCCACCAGTTCATCTCTGTCATGTCAAATAAATCAACAAATAAAAATGAAATTTCAAAGTGCAGTTTGTCCAGAACTTCACCTCTGGGATATGTGATGGAGCAGGACTCGTCCACTGATGTCTGCTGAGAAGAACACATTCTCCCTTTAGCATAGGTCACACTGAAGCAGGTCTCTGTGATGGAACCTGAGAAAAACCAACAACTTTCCGTAAATTCATTAGAGTCTGAAGAGTAAAGTGTTTGTGTTTAACATCTCATAACATGATGAGGAGGTCTCCATCATGACTCACCCACAGAGACTTCAGGGGCTCTGAGATGCTCGTAGCCTTTGACAGCACAGGAGTATGTGACTGCTTCCTCACTGCTGAGCAGCTCTTGGTACCAGGGAGACCAGTCCTCATAGAGAAACTCTCTGTTCTTGTACCAGATGTAGGCTGCAGGCTTTTCAGTCAGAGGACAGCTGCTGCTGCACATCAGTGTTACTGTCTGTCCCTCTGTGGCAGGAATCACCTTTACCTGCAGCTCTGAGAGGTCACATGACCAACATGAATACACTGATCATTCATAAACTCATTCATTTGTGATGCATTTGTAAAAAGAACTGTACCTGTAACTTGGAGATGAATTCCACTTTGTTGGCACTTTGATCTGTCAGCAGTTTTAATGCAGCAGTAAAAATTTGCATCTCTCTCTGTCAGATTATTGATTGTTAGAGTGAAATTACTCTCTGCTGACATGCTGTACTTTACATGTGTTTCCTCTACTGAGAACTTTATCTTGGAGACAGTATCGTGTCCAGTGTACCAGCCATTTCCTGCAGTGGGATGTTGATGTGAGCAGGGCAGATTCACTGATGAACCTTTCAAGGCACAGATGCTGTTTGCGTTTCCCTGAACACCTTTAACACAACATGTGATTAGAAAACATGGTGAACATTTATGCTAACTTTCTTTTCTGTGCTAATCTGTGATGACAGCATGTTACTGTGAAGGATCACAATCTGGTGCTTTGATACACTTGAGAGTTCAGAACAGTAAAAGTACAAATCCTGTTAACTGTCAATCTTCTGTTTTCTAAAATCATTTTGTAACTTTCTGCAGGTTTGACACTAAAACTCCTGCCTTCCACAAACAGCATCACAGTCATCATGAGGAGGAGAAACAAATTATTCCTACCTGAGAGACACAGAATGAAACCCATGAACAAACATCCAGCTTCGGCCAACAACATGGCTGCTGTAGATTTTCTCTTCTAATGAGAAAGTTGATGTATGATGATTGTAAAGAGCCGATCACTGCTGCTCTCAGAGTTTGGAAAATATCAGAAACATGAATGTTAAAAATCAACATCTGTCTACCAGGAATCACTGACTTGTGTGAGTGTGTCAGCAGACAAACTGCATTCAGGTTTAACACCATCACTTCCTCATTTACTTATTTCCCCCACAAAGAGCCCTCTAGTGAAGAATCCATGTATTGACCTCAAATAAATGTATTTTCTATTTCTTGTCATCATTATTAAAATTATAATATTGTTTTTTAGTTTACAAAATGTAAAAATTGCAATATCATTAAATTTCACATAAATATTTTGTGTTTATTTACAACAAAAAACCTTCAGTGATAACAATGAGAACGTGAAGATGTGAAGCTGTTTGTTGTTGTTAATTTAACAGATGTTAAACCTCCAAACATGATGTCTTTAATGTTTTAATTTTTGACACAAACAATGTGAAAGATTTTTATGTTTGAAGCTGCAAATCACCCAGAAAGTAACACAACACGCACAACTATTGATAATGGATTGCATATATATAGTGCTTTTCGAGACCCTCAAAGCGTTTTATGATTCCACTATTCATTCACACACTGGTGGAGGCAGCTACAGTTGTAGTCAGAACAGAAGCGAGGTTGCTGTATCACGCCCCTCTGGCCATCACCAGTAGGCGATGTGTCTTGCCCAAGGGCACAACAACAGAGACTGTCCGAGCCGGGGCTCGAACCGGCAACCTTCCAATCACAAGACGAACTGCCAACTCTTGAGCCACGATCGCCCTATTCAACACAATCATGCCAGACATTGGCTGTATCCCAATTCAGGGTCTGCAGCCTTAAAGTACGCAGCCTCAACGGTCCTCAAGGGCCGCGTACTTAAAGACCGCTTAGGCTGGAAGTGCGAGGCTTGTGTAATGGGACGGTCTAGCCTCCGTTGCGCTGCCCAGGTTGTCTAGCAACCATGATACTAACAGCTGGAAACGTTTCATACAGCTTTGTTTGACAGAAATGAAGGAGAAAATCTTTTGTTCATTTGTTTGTTTCTTTCTACATGAGCTTTGATCATTCTCTGTAGGATTAAGCTCAGCTATTGAACGGAGTATATTTTAAAGTAAAGGCTTTAAAACCAAGTTAGTACAAACGTCACTAATGTCACATAACTTTGCCGACATGTGGCCAACAGTAATGTTTTAATGTTCTTCATTATTAAACATTTGCACATAAATACGTGACATAATATTCAGTACTTACTTAAAGTTTACTCTTCGGGCGCCCCTCATCCGCCGTTTTTTTCGGCAAAATTATCCACACCCACCGCCGCACTATGCATTCTGGGATCTGTTGGGCCACGAAGTCTACACTGCCACAGCCTTAAAACTCAGGGAAATGAAGGATGCATTTCAGGGCCGCATTTCGAGCAGCCTTTGAATTGGGACAGCCTTTGGCGCGCCGCTGTGACGTAATCGGCCTTGAAATGCGTACTTTAAGGCTGCAGACCCTGAATTGGGATACAGACATTGACACCACATAATATCATCAGACATCTTTAAATTGAAAATCAGGTATTTGTACAGCAGATGATGTTTTTTGTAGTGTTTGCTTTCATGTTGTTCTGTCTGTAAACACAATGAAATGCATGTGATGCAAAATACAAGACCTGCTAATCGTGTTACTTTAGGCGCTTTAGGTTTTCTTACTTTCTGGGTGATCATGTCTTCAGGTCGTTTTTTTAAGTTTGTTTTTTGAACCACAATATGACCTCAAACAATTTCATGTCTCTGCTTTCACCATCAACGCTGACAGATACATGCTCTTCCACTTATATGGTTAGAGTTCACAAGGAAGGTGGAGTTTATCACAGTTTCCACAGGGCAAGAGGTGAGGCGACCCTGGACAGCCCAACAGTCTCTCACAGGGCAAACACAGAGAGAAAGAAAACTAGATGTACTCACACCTGTGAACAAACACAGGAAGAACATGTGAAGGCAAAGTCCCAGACATGAAGCCACGAGCTTGTTAAAGCGAGACGACCACCATAACCACTGCACCACCACACAGACAGAGCTTTCATGAAAACACAATGAAATTGTGGCTCGTCACATGTTTAACTGAGATCATTTGTCACTGAAAAATTATAAAGCCAAAAATTCTGGAAGAAAAATAAACAAACAATTCATTCAAAGTAGATTCAGTATTTTGTCAAATATCTCATGTAATACATTCTTCACTAGAGGGCTCTTTGTGGGGCAAATAAGTAAATGAGGAAGTGATGGTGTTAAAGCTGAATGCAGTTTGTCTGCTGACACACTCACACAAGTCAGTCATTCCTGTTAGACAGAAGTTGATTTTTAACATTCATGTTTCTGATATTTCTGAAACTCTGAGAGCAGCAGTGATCGGCTCTTTATAATCATCATACATCAACTTTCTCATTAGAAGAGAAAATCTACAGCAGCCATGTTGTTGGCAGAAGCTGGATGTTTGTTCATGGGTTTCATTCTGTGTCTCTCAGGTAGGAATAATTTGTTTCTCCTCCTCATGATGACTGTGATGCTGTTTCTGGAAGGCAGGAGTTTTAGTGTCAAACCTGCAGAAAGTTACAAAATGATTTTAGAAAACAGAAGATTGACAGTTAACAGGATTTGTATTTTTACTGTTCTGAACTCTCAAGTGTATCAAAGCACCAGATTGTGATCCTTCACAGTAACATGCTGTCATCACAGATTAGCACAGAAAAGAAAGTTAGCATAAATGTTCACCATGTTTTCTAATCACATGTTGTGTTAAAGGTGTTCAGGGAAACGCAAACAGCATCTGTGCCTTGAAAGGTTCATCAGTGAATCTGCCCTGCTCACATCAACATCCCACTGCAAGAAATGGCTGGTACACTGGACACGATACTGTCTCCAAGATAAAGTTCTCAGTAGAGGAAACACATGTAAAGTACAGCATGTCAGCAGAGAGTAATTTCACTCTAACAATCAATAATCTGACAGAGAGAGATGCAAATTTTTACTGCATTAAAACTGCTGACAGATCAAAGTGCCAACAATGTGGAATTCATCTCCATGTTACAGGTACAGTTCTTTTTACAAATGCATCATAAATGAATGAGTTTATGAATGATCAGTGTATTCATGTTGGTCATGTGACCTCTCAGAGCTGCAGGTAAAGGTGATTCCTGCCACAGAGGGACAGACAGTAACACTGATGTGCAGCAGCAGCTGTCCTTTGACTGAAAAGCCTGCAGCCTACATCTGGTACAAGAACAGAGAGTTTCTCTATGAGGACTGGTCTCCCTGGTACCAAGAGCTGCTCAGCAGTGAGGAAGCAGTCACATACTCCTGTGCTGTCAAAGGCTACGAGCATCTCAGAGCCCCTGAAGTCTCTGTGGGTGAGTCATGATGGACGCCTCCTCATCATGTTATGAGATGTTAAACACAAACACTTTACTCTTCAGACTCTAATGAATTTACTGAAAGTTGTTGGTTTTTCTCAGGTTCCATCACAGAGACCTGCTTCAGTGTGACCTATGCTAAAGGGAGAATGTGTTCTTCTCAGCAGACATCAGTGGACGAGTCCTGCTCCATCACATATCCCAGAGGTGAAGTTCTGGACAAACTGCACTTTGAAACTTCATTTTTATTTGTTAATTTATTTGACATGACAGAGATGAACTGGTGGAAAATGTGTTCATCATCTCCCAACAGAAATTCATGTCCAGAGGACTCCTGCTGAACACAGAGGTCACATCAGACTGACCTGTAACAGCAGCTGTTTTCTGACTGAGCCTCTGATTTCCTTTGTGTGGTATGAGACCAGAAAGCCTACAGTGCAGGAGGGAAAACAGATTCTAGTTTCCCGATCTAATCATGACAGTTTGTCTTGTGCTGTAAAAGGTCTTGAGGATGTGCGCTCTGCTGACGTCTGTGAGTAAACTTATTGTCTCTCCACTTACAAAGTATTACCACCACTTCTTGCAATTAAGACTAATCATCACACTGGTTTCCTGTAAAGTTCAGGATCAGTTTTAAAACGTTGGTGATCACATCACAATTCTCAGCTGCAGATCCAAAACTCTCCCTCTTCAGATCTGCTCATCTATGATACTAACAGTATTCATCTCCTGACTTCTGCTCAGCTTTTTCAGTCTCACCCAAGAGTAACTCAGTCTGTCATTTTGCCCAGTGTATTTCTTTCTTCTTTTATATATATTTAATGTTATTATTTCATTATTGCTTTTATTAATTATTTGGTTGTTTTTATTCTAAGTATACTTTAAAGTGCTTTTTACTTGTTGTTGTGTTTAAATGTGTGATAGAAATAAACTGATTTGACTAATTAAGTTAAAATATCTCTTCTCTGTTTCATTGATATTTCAGGTTTCAATGATTCCTGCTGGGCGTTGAATTATGTCCACAGCAGAATCTGTGCTCTGGAAGGATCTTCAGTCAACATCTCCAGTAAATACTCACATCCTGACTACGAGCAGATACAGTCTAAATGTTGGTATAAAGTCAAGAGAGAAGCTGAACAGCTGACTGAGGATGCAGATCATGTGGAGTATGATGACAGCATGAAGAACCAACACATCCTCAGATTAAAGAAGCTGAAGAGAGATGACTCAGCAGAATACAGGTTCACCATCACAACAGAAAATGAAGAAGTGAAACAGTTTGATTTTCCTGGAGTTACTCTGATTGTCACAGGTAATTACAGCTTGTTTGACTCACTGTTCATTGTTTAGATCCCAGTTAGTCCTGTGTGTTACTCAAATAAGCTAACAGAAACTAATCTAAGCTGGTAGTGGGGAGACTCACCCAGCTCTAACAGCCTACAGCTGCATGACTACAAGGTTTCAACTTGATGATGAAATCCACGAGCAACTCCAGAGTTAGCTGCAATTATTAGCTATTAATGGCAATTAACAGAAGCTCTGCTCACCTATGTTTGCACTTGTTACTTTAGTGGTGAAAATAGTTCCCAGGTATGTGTTAGCATAAGGACTAGAACAATCTGTGAGAACGATTTTAGAGATGTAATATTTATACACAAGTTTTCACCTTTACTGTTACTGAAAGAGTCAAAAAGAAAATGTCCACAACTTTAGACTTTAAATGTAGTCTTGTGTTGCTTTGAAGGACAGAGAGCATCAATGAGGAGAAGCAGAGACTCAGCACAAAATCACCAAACCTCTTCCAGGTTTCAGTCCAACACAGCATGAATTCCAGTTCATAAATCTATTGATTATGGTTCAATTTGTCACGGTTCTGGGTCCGTTGGACCCAGTATTTTGAGTTTTATTATGTTTGGGTTTTAGTTTTGGATTGTTTTCTTCTTCTCTTGTTGTGTTTATGGTGATGATTATGATGTTTATTATTAGAGTTCCATGTTTCTGTTTATCTGGGTTTAAGATGCGGGTTTAGTTTATATGTTATTTCCTGTCTGTCTCTCGATGTCGAGCCTGCGTGTGATGTTTTATTGTGAAGGTCTGCGTCTCATGTGAGTGTGTTCAGTTTTACCTCTGTCTCGTCTCACTGATTGTTCCCAGCTGTGTCCACCACCTGTGTGTAATTCCCGTGTTTCTCTGTGTGTATTTAAGTCGTGTCCTCCGTCATTGTAGTTGCTGGTCCGTCTGTGTATTCCACTCTGCGTCATCTGTGTATCTACCATGTCTCACCCGTGTGTTCTCCCTGCTGTCCATCGTCATTCTCCTCTGCTCGTTCTCATTTAGGTTTGTTCTTTGTAGTTTAGTTGTTTTCCAGTATAGTTTAGTTCGAGCTCCGTTTGCTGTTTGTCCCTATTTATTTCATGTTCAATAAACCACCTTCACTTCTCCACTACTGCCTGCGATTGGATCCTCATTTATTATTTTCACACGGCTCTCCTCACCCGCCGTGACACAATTCTCTCGGGTTTCCTACTAAAGATGTTCTCCAGTAATGTAAAAGCTGTCACACGTACAGTAAAGTAATATTTTTACATTTCTGGCCGTTTGAACATTTACTGTCAGTAGGTTCATTTTGGGTTAAAATCTTTACTAAATTGTATATTTTTTTCCTTAAATTTAATACAGTTCTAATATTTGTAAAAAGAAAAAAAATGTTCTCAGTCACTTTGTAACATTGATGCCTAAAAACCAACCTGCTGTTTATAAGAAATAACTCTTACATTTATTGACCAGTCTGAGTATCTTCCAGAGCTGAGAGTGAAGATGAGTCCTTCTGCAGTGGTGACAGAGGGTCAGAGAGTCACACTGACCTGCAGCACCAGCTGTCCTCTGACTGACAACACAAACTACATTTGGTACTTGAACAGTCGACCTCTGACCCCGAGAGAGAACCAGAACAAACATCTGATCCTAGACCCAGTCAGCAGGGAGGATGCAGGAAGCTACTCCTGTGCTGTGAAAACCAACAAAGATATCAGCTCTGCTCCAAAGACTCTCACTGTCCAAAGTATCACAGGAACATGGACACCAGCAGCTGCAGGAGTTCCTGCAGCTCTGCTGGTTTTAATACTTCTCACTGTCTGCTGGTGGATCAGGTGAGGATAAAGACTGTTTCCTCTGTCAAATCTCTTAGGTTTCATCTAGAATTTACACACTAACCAGACACCACCTGTTCATGTTTGTATTCACTATTTTTCATAAACCAGAAGAAAGAGGAACTCTCACCAACCTTCAAGAAATGAAGATTTGGATGATTTGGAGGTGATAAAAATAAAGTACAGTTTTAGTACAACACAAAACATCAGTGTCATTCTATACTTTTTCATACAAGTCATTTTTAAGAGATGATACGTTTCTTATTCATTATTTAATCACATCATTGTTCTTTCTTAGTTTTTTGTCTTCTTTTAGTTTTTCTTCTGCTGACACAGAAATGTTATGTACCACATGTTTTAAGGTCCTGTACTCTACAGCAACAAATAATAGACCAGTCAGTTTTTTAAAAGCTTCATGATAGTTTTTTTTTAAAATGTCAGAGCAAATTATTTAAACAGACTCACTCACATAGTTTAACTCATATAGAAGATCTATGAATATAAGTTTGAATCTACTACTTTGGGCTAATTCTACCATCCAGCTGAGCTCTTAGTTGAAGGATCTGCAATAATGTATTCATTATTGTAAAAATAACAACAATCATCATCATCACTGAAAATGTAACTTCTCTGTTTCTTTGTTATCATTTAAACTTTGGTCCCCAGTATGACGACATCGCAGCCCATCGAGGAGAGCAGGACCTGAACTACCAAAGACTCCACGTCTACAAGAATGAAACAGATTCTCTCTACTCCACGATTCCTCCATCTCAGCCCCGAGAACAACATCATATCCACTACAAACCTGAGTATGTCTGAAACATTAATTACACTGTAAACGAGGGCTATATTGTTACAAAACTGTAGATTATTACAGACTGGGCTTTATAATAACCTGAATAAGATCCAAGTGGATTATAGAGTTCATTACTTTGTGTTTTGAATATAGAGGGCTGTGAGCTCCTTTCCAGATTCAGTGGATCAAATAAGGAAATTGTTTTTGTTTTTGTCTTATATTTCACATAGTCAGTCATCTTTTTTTAACTAGATCAAAGAGGACTTCCAGACAGTCTCCAAGAAGAACATCAGACAACAAAGAGCAGGTACAGAACTGGATTCAAACAAAAACATCTCCTCATCTGTCGTGTTTGTCTTCACCTAAAATAATCAAAAAAGTCTTCAGCTTTTTCAGTTTTCTCACAAACTCTACCTGAAGATTTTCTTTTATAGAGTTTTTATTAGATTATATACAGTTACACCATGAACATCATGTGACAGGGACACACTACTATTATATTTTGAGATACTACAAATGCCATACATCGACAATCATTAGGCTGATATCAGGCTTACATATTATTTTTGGACATTGAACAGACGTGAAGTTTAGCCCTGACTGTACACAGATTTCACTCTGATTTGAACTACATCAAAAAGCCATGTAGTATAATTTATGTTAATAAACTAGGAAATAATTCCCTGAAACGACCACTAAAAGGCTTGTTTACCACATGTTTAACACAGACATTTATCAGTTGAGCTCTACAAAGTGATGTTTATAATGCTCTGAAAGGAGAGTGAGCTAAAGATTTAGTTTAATATAAATGTATAATTACTGTCTCGTCTCCTCAGATGAACCCTGAAAGTATCTCAGCTCAGTCAGCAGAGCAGGATGATCATCACTACAGGAGACTGCACTTCAGTCAGAACCACACAGCTGATCTCTACTCCACCATGGAGCCACTGCCTGCTCACTAAAGAAGAGTTTGTTACCATGGTGATTTAAAGGAACATTTTGCGGAGAGTTTTTGTCTGAAATAACTTCAGTGTCACAGCAGAGACACCACAGCTGGTGTGTCTGTCAGTGGGTTTCACATATTGTACTAAAACAGACAACACAGGAAAGTAATTAACAGAAATATAGAAATACTTCAGCTTCACTTTAAAGAGGTCCAATGAAAATAGGAGACATGCTAATGATATTACTCTGTGAGCTTTGGTTTGTTTTACTTTCTGGGTGCTCTGCAGCTTTGACTGTAAAATTATTAACTCTGTTTCTGACGCAACATAAAACATCAAAGTCATCACGTCTGCAGGTTTAACTTCTGTCAAGTGTTGGGGTTTTTTTTTCTAAACCACAAAATAACAACTAAACCACATGTCTCTGTTCCCACTGTTACACTGACAGGTATTGATGAAAATATAATTACGTTTAATTACATTACATTTAATAATTTCCTATGTGTACTTTGTAAAAACTAAACAATAAAAAGAAAAAATGCAGCAAAGAAGAAAACAAATTCTAAGGAACATTCAATATGATGTCAGTGCATCGATTCTCCACTAGAGGGCTCTGCTTTGTGGGAAAGACATATGAGGAAGTGTTGCTTTTAATGCTGAATGCAGTCTGTCTGCAGACACACTCACACGAGTCACATCTTTTTAACCAACAACACAAAGCATCCCTCTGAAAATGACATAAGGGCTGAACTAACAACACGTAATAGAAGCATAACAGAATTTTCATGCTGGTGAGTATTTTTTTTAGGTAGGGGAGACCGGGGATAGTTGTAACATGGGTCAGTTGTAACTCTTCCAATTTCTCCAATCAGGGCTAAGTTTCAAATGATGTGACTCATCCTGTGCATGCCCAATTCAGTTCTGCTATCACATGTGAAAAATCAGCACATTTTGTCAAACACAGACAATTTCAAGGTTCAAGGTTCTTTATTTGTCACATGCATAGTTATACAAGTATAACACACAGTGAAATGTAGCCTGACACGCTCCTCGACATGTGCAAAAATGTGTGTGGGGGGGGTGTAGAGGAAGAACATTATATATATATATATATACATACATATAGTATATACACTGGGTGAATGTGCAGTAGTAGCAGCAAGCAGGTGAATTCTGTACATTAATATGAATAGACATCTGACTATTTTACGGGATAGACAATATAAACATATTTAAAATTAAAATGTACATTGTGCCTTGGTTTAGAGTGTCTGGAAGAGAGTCCTGTCTCAGTCAATTATAGATGATGTGAGAGGGCGGGTGTGTGTGTTTAGGGCACGGATGGCTTGGGGATAGAAGCTCCTCTTGAGTCTCTCTGTCCTTGCCCGGAAGATGCGGAACCTTCTACCAGATTGCAGAAGTTGGAACAGTTTGTTGCCAGGATGGGACGGGTCCTTCAGTATCTGCGCTGCTCTAGTCCGGCATCTCCTGGTGTAGGTGTCCTGAAGCGGGGGGAGAGCAATCCTGCAGCAGCGTTCTGCTGTACGGATCACTCTCTGGAGAGCTTTTTGGTCCTTCACACAGCTGTTCCCAAACCACGATGTCATGTTCTGTGTGAGGATGCTCTCCACAGCCTATAGAAAATCCTGAGGATCTTTGGAGAGACCCTGAACTTCCTCAGTTGTCGTAGGTGATACAGGCGCTGCCTAGCCTTTTTGGTCTGGACCTGAATGTGGGCAGCCCATGTCAGGTCTGAGGAGATGTGGACACCAAGATACTTGAAGGACTGCACCCTCTCCACTGGAGCTCCATTGATGATAATGGGCTTGTAGTCTCTGTGCTGACCCCTTTTGAAGTCCACCACCAGCTCCTTGGTCTTGCTGACGTTCAGCTGGAGGTGGTTGTCCTGGCACCACGATGCCAGATTCTTCACTTCATCCATGTAGGCCGCCTCATCGTTGTTGGAGATGGCACCCAACACCACTGTGTCGTCAGCAAACTTCACAATGGTGTTGGAGCCGTGGGTGGCCACACAGTCTGAAGTGTAGAGGGAGTAGAGCAGTGGCGAGAGGACACATCCCTGAGGTGCTCCTGTGTTGATGGTGATGCTGTTGGAGAAGCACCTGCCCACCCTCACCACCTGAGTTCTGCCAGTGAGGAAGTCCAACACCCATGCACACAGACGGCTGTTAAGTCCCGGATCCCTGAGCTTTGTGAACAGTCTGCAGGGCACTATTGTGTTAAACGCTGAACTGTAATCAACAAACAGCATTCGCACATAGTTACCCTGTTTCTTGTCCACGTGGCTGAGAGTGGTGTGTAGGACGTGGGCGATGGCATCCTCTGTGGATCTGTTGGATCTGTAGGCGAACTGCAGCGGATCTGTGGTGTCTGGGATGGAGGAGGAGATGATGTTCTTCAGCAGCCTCTCAAACACCTTCATTACTACCGAGGTCAGTGCAACTGGCCGGTAATCGTTCAGGGATGAGGGTTTGCACGAAACACGAAGCACGAAAAAAAGTAATTTGTATGCCAAAAAGTAAGTTTTTCTACTTTATTTCAATTTGTAATAGCATTATCTGCTTTGCAGCTAAACTCAAACTTAAATTATGTTATTTGTATGTCTATGGGGATATATTCTGTGTAAGTCTTTAGTGCTAATGTTTTAGCCGTTGGCTGTAATGTTAGCTAGTTTATGGCTATAGGAGTCTGGGTCAGTTGTAACAGTAACAGTCTGGGTTAGTTGTAACAATAATGTATGTTACAACTTACCACACTATTACTTTAACTTATATTGAACAAGTTGGGGCAACGACATCAGCAGAGAGAGGTTCACTGGTCGCATTTGTATATGCGGTTAATGCCATTGCCAACACAATTCCTCCACTGTTTGTGTTCCCACACATACATTATGCAGACCACTGTGTCAGAGATGGACCAGTAGGAAGTACTGGTAGTGGAAATAAATCAGGATGGGTGCACGAAACAGATTTCCTCATCTTTCTGAAGCACTTTGCAAACCACACCAAGGTAAGCCATGATAAAAAGTAATGGAATTGCGATGCTGGTGAACAACTACATTTTTTCAGCTTCATTGTTATGTTCAAAATTGGTGCAAAAGTTGTAGGTTATAATGCCCACTGAGCCAATGAGGCCAAACTCAAGGAAGACCAACCAAAATTAATGAAATATTCAGTTGCAGAAAATTCCATAATTTGTCTTTTTTGGGGGGTTGGAATATGTTCAAAAGCTAGATTTCTGCATTCTGTCACACACACACATAGCTACATAAATGGATGTAAGTGCATTCATGTGTTGAATAAACAAAGATTACATGTTAATGTTTTGTTAGTACCCTTATTTCATTGTGTTACATTTTACCCCAGGATATGTTACAACTAACCCAGACTATGGGGTTAATTGTAACATTTCACTCTTTGTGTTTGAGACCATACCATGCAATGGGTAATTGTGCTGCAGAGAAAATAGCTGCACTATTTAATAGCAGAGACATGTAAATACTTTGCATTACATTTTGAATCCACTACCTTAAAAGAGCTTCAATTTACAGACAGAAATGTCAAAAATGTTACAACTATCCCCAGTCTCCCCTACCATTAGCCTAAAATAAATACCAGAGTCTTTATAGCCAGTCTTCAAACTCACCAGCCTTTTTGAACTAACTGTGGGATCTTCTAAATGTTAACTTTATTTATAACACACATCTGTGCTCCACAATAAACTTTTTTGAACACTTTTCTTACGTCTGCCACCGTTCTGTTGTGGAATTCTTCCAAACACGTTAATTCAAGATTCTTTCTCTTTACGTCTACAATGCTAACTTGTTAGCATAATGTTGCAAACTAGCTCTGAACTGGTATTGATACTGTAATGAAAATATTATTTTTGTTTGCATTTTTTTCTAATCAATTAGTGTCATAATTAAATTGCTGGATAAATTGGCTGGGTGAGTTAACTTTGATTCCGCCCCAAAATAGATACATAAACAAATGCCCTCGATCCTCAATGAGCTCAAATAATGTTGTAAAGGAGAGTGGACCAATATTCCTTCACATCAATGTGAAAGACTGTTAAAGTAAAAACAAAAATAAGTTATTAAAGTAAAAAAATGTGTCGGTCAGATTGGTAACAAGTCCAGACTGTTCCCTGCCTCTTTCACTATGTTATGGATAGGCTCCAGCCCCCAGCAGAAGGGGATGGATGGAAGTGAAAGAATAAAGTCTGGCTCTCAAGACTACCGTGACCTGAATGACTGAGATCCTACACAGACAACATTTTAACCCATTGCTGTTTAATGTTTCATGACGTATTTATAAATTTGGACCAAGAAAGGAACAGGACCAGTTTGTGAATTAAAAAGTCACAAAACCTGAAAAGGCAGATTTTTGAGAACCAGTTCAAATGTGTTTCATGTTCAGCAGAAAATACTTTTATTTCATTGTGCTTGTTTGTTGATCTGCAAAGACAAAGAAAAAAAACTCAAATATGTTAAAGGATGAAATTTATTGTTTCACTTTTAATGCAAAATGTTTGTTACATGTTCATGAATATGAAGTCTTATTGATATTCTATCCTGTAACTATCCTGGATTTTTGATGAAGACATTTTTGACTTTACAGGAAATTGAGCTGCACTGTTTTTTTGTTTGTTTGTTTGTTTGTTTGTTTTCTTTATTACAGTCTTTGGGACTATTTTGCTCTACAGTTTTGCTGGCATGTTGAGCAAAGCCTGATATAATGATGACTTTATAATGTGTGAAAGAGACTTTAAGAGAGATATGCACATAGATAAAGCACTGTTTTTGAGGCTTCCTCTTATCCGGTGTGAGACAGAGCCTGAGAGCGATTGTCTCAACATAAAGAGCTGGTAACCATTTCAAATGTTTTAGTTTCAGTTCCTATGAGGGTTTGAAAGAAGCCTGTAAAGAGTCACCACAGTTTGTCCATACTCATCAGAAAAAGTAAATACAAGAAGTGAATGTAATACCAACATCATGAACAGAACAATTTAAGTTCTGTACAGGCAGATGCGTTGTTATATTTTATCTTCTTTAAGTTGATGTGTTGTACAGGCTCTAGGTGTCCACAGCCTGGTCATTGCGTCTGAAAGTAACAAAAATGGTGCATTAATTAAAAAAAT